CAGGGGTGCCCATATTGTTATGGTCATGGAAAATAGGCGATTGCAGCAGCTGGCCCCTTAGTTCTCAGTCTATAACTCTATATTCTTAAAGGAATGTAAAGTAGGGATGCACAGATACCGATACTAGTATCAGTATTGGTGGCGATACCGAGTAGTTGGGCAAGTACTCTTAATCACCCAAATGATCCGATACCTTCCCTGATACCGGAACTTCGGGTCAGAGGGAGATTTTCTCTGACTAGCAGTGCCGCAAAGGAACATGAAGCTGGCTTCACAGCCAATCAGGAAGCCAGGCGGCGTGTAATAACTCGCCATGCCGTTTGGCTGGCTCGATGCTGATTGTCTGGGAAGCCGGCTTCCCAGCCAATCAACATCGAGCCGCCCAAACAGCATGGAGCCGGCTTCCCGGGCAATCAAAACTGCCGGCTCCATGCTAGCGGAAGTACCAGTATTGGTGCATCCCTAATGTAAAGCCAAGTCAGTAAAACCATGTGTTATGGAACGGTTGTTCTTTTTGTTTCAGTCATGCTGTTAAATCTTCCACTGCCTCGAGTTTGCACACCATAAGTTTATGGAGAAAAAATGTGTTTCCAGCAGAGTGGAATATGCGCCTGGGCTGCACGTCATGTAAGAGTTATAATTTTGTGTGGCAGTGCTTAGGGATGGTGGTCATGTGAAGTTGAAGCGCTGCTGGGTCATCTTTAGGCACCTTTTACATTATTGGCCCCAATCAGGCCGGCCTGCAAGGTTTTTCAGCTGGACCCAATCGGATACTCTATGCAAGTCTATGGGCAGCCGTGTGTAAACAGACGACACCTGGTTAGCCCCAGAAAAACAAACCGATCAGAGATCTGTTTTGACGGACCGGATTGTGCCGGATCGGGGGTAATCTGATGTAAACTGACAGTTTACATGATTCCCCATAGTCACACATGGCGTTCTGCAATTTTAATTTTTCCTTCATCACAAGATGGAGAGAAAAAACTGTACAGAGACAGATGTCACAATGTTAACATCCGCTCCGTACTGCTGTGATCAAGAGAGGATTTGTTGACGGATCCTCTCCTGACATGCTGGTCTGAAAGGGGCCTAAAAGGTGTATATTCCTCAGTTTAGTAATTATGTTGGTTACTTTTCGCCAGAGCTTACACATCACCAGCACTCTCAGAACATGTGAAAAATTGTACCAACTGTATCCTACTTGTGAGAATATGGGAGAGGTATTCAGAAAAGCCTTATGGGACATTAACAGGATACCATCTGAATAGCATTTAATCCAGGTTCTTATGTTATGTTTAAAATATATGCTTTATGTACATTTTAAAGAATATGTTTCTGCAGCTCTGAAATTGGTCTTAAGATCTTTTTCCAACTTTGTGAGGAAAGGAGATGTAAAGGAGACTGGTGGCATATATAGCATAGCGTGGGAAGCTGATAACTGAATGTCTGAGCATCTGATAAGTAATGAACTGCAGCTGAAAGTCTACTATATTTTGGATCTCCCACAAGGCCCTCTGTCAGTCGGTACTGGTAAACGTTGTGGAAAAGAAAGGCTTTCTCAGATAAGGCTGGGGAGAATTTAGGGCTGCCCATAACTGAAGTCAAATATGAGATGTGTAAATGCCCTTGTAGGAGGTCTCCTGTACTGTTGGGTGCTTTCAAAGTGCTACCAATAAGAGGGTGGTCAGAGACTTGCTTGAGCATTTTGTGGTTTATAACCAGGGGAGACAACGTAGTAGAATGGTGGAACATAATTGTTCCACAGTGACCTAGCACTTCCTATCTTTATGTCTACACCAGTCTAGTACCACGGACAGGTGTGCAACCTTCTGTTATAGAACTGGGTTCAGAAATCCTATGTCTTCATATGCTTTCATAAGGACTTCATAAGGATGTTGTTAATTTAAGACTTGTAAGTGAACAAAAATTGTCTGAATTCTCTCCAGTTTTTAGGATGGTGGCTGGTATTGCAATGGGAAGGATTTGCAGTGAATAATTGTAGAGGAGCATTCATTTTCAAAATATTCCTTCCAAAAAGTGTGCACCTGTTTACCACGTTTTACACTTCTGTCTGTGCCTCGTAAGGAATGGTGGGAAAATGACTTCAAAGTTTTTGTCCATGGATGTGCGAAGAAAAACATTAAATCCTAAACATATAGTAGTAGTAGTACTTTGATTTTTATGTGATCAGGACATATGTGGTTTAAAAAAAAAACAAAACTTTTTTTGCTTCATCTCAAAATGGATCATCACCCTTTTAATAAAAAATAAAAAAAAGTTTTGAGCAATGAAAAAAGTTGTGACCTCGTCAGGTTCGTTTTATTTTAAAAAAAAACATCTTGTCAGGTTTCACTTTTCAAAAGGATCTCTCCACCTAGAGTCCTATTACGTTAGCTCTAGCTCAACCTGAAGTTCCTAGATTCTCTGAACATACATATGAAAAGTTCACTGGGTGAAATATGAAAAATGCACTACACAGAGAGGGATTGACAATGCAGCTCACAGTAATTATACATTAGATCTCAAAGCTGATAGGGTCACTGAGCAGGAATAAATCTGGAACAAAAATGTCTAGGATCCAGGGTGAGATTTACAAGGATCAGTAGTCAAGAACTTTGTATAAACCAAAAAGTCATGATTCATAGTTTAAAAATAATTTGCCTGGTTATTCCCATTTAACTTACAGTGTTGCAAGACTTTGTCCATTCTTAGGGTCCCAAAATTTGATTGGCTGTTGGCTATCTTTACTTCCAGACACCAGAAGTCCTTTGGTTGGATGCCAGTCAACACATTTCACATCAGCTCCGTGCCCTAAAGGTGAAACAGTTTTTATATATTGTAATAACTGTAGACTGAAAAGAATCAGGGCAGCCTGAAGGGTTCTGCCGGACCGCTCTCTGTCCTTTAGTAAAAGTCAAAAAATTGTATTACAACCAATGGCGCATAATCCCAGGGGGGTGTTGCTGACAGGTTCAAGAGTTACTTCTTCCTGTTTAATTACCTTTTATCATTTTAATTTAGCTGTTAAGCTTAACTGATCAGTCCAAGTATTTTAAGTTATTTAAAATACAATAGATGCTTGGACACCATACACCAAGAATAAAATGGCACTGCCAATAAGTGCACAAGAGATATTGAGAATCACTGCTAAGGAGAGTCCAGCATGGCACAGATGAAACCACAAAATATGTCCCTTCTCTCTAATGGGTCCATCTTAGGAAATAAATACAAATTAAATTGGAGTTGCAGTTCGTGTACACTCAAATTTATTCAAAGGCTACGTGTATGTATAGCCAAATTTTTCTGTTTTAGTTTTGCATAGTAGGTAAAGTAAGGAAAGGAAGTAAGGAAAAGTTAGAACTTCTATCAAGTTTTTATTGCTGTGTCCCCTGCTGTGTCCCCCTGGAGTGTTTCAAAACTATACAGTTGCCAATGTAACAGAAATAGAGGGAAAGCCTTCTAATGGGTCAACTGTTCTGGTGACAACAGTTCAAGATGAGCATTTCTCTCAATTTGGAGAGATTTTGGCTCATATACTGTTGCGTCTCTAGGGCAGGAAGGGAATTCTCCCCAATGTCACTTAGACAGCAAAAGTCAATGGACGGAGGGGAGGGATTAACTATCCCTACTCTATCCAAAACAAAAAAAAACTAAACAATAACGTTGGATATACAAATGCTTTAATGTGTCACAAGAGAAATAATGTATTGCCACTGTCTGCTTCCTTCTCAACAGTATTAGTTAGTTTCCTGTCTCTGGCTTCAGTACTTCTGTGTCACTGACATTTATACAACATATATAGACAAATCATAGTCAAATTATTTCTATACTTGTTCCAGGCCAGTAAGGTAAAGTACTGAAGCCAAAGCACCGTAATGGCCGGGCAACTAGCATTTTTAGGAGGTCAGCAATGGCCACTAATGTATTTTTCTCCTCACAAGTATCCTTTATGGATAATGATGTAAAACCCTACTTTCACTAAAATGACTGACATTTAAACTTCATATTCATTTTTAATCCAACAAAAATCAAATTCCTGAAAAAGTTCTTCATTGTAACAAGCTTATCTTGAACATGTATATGTGCTATCTTACCATTCACTAAGACTAATCTAAAAATCACAGCAAGAGGAAACAAGAAACGTGTATTTTATAAATAGGGACACAACAAATTCAACATCTTCATTTAAATTTTATTGCTGCTGGTCTTAACAAAACCAAAATGTTTAATATTCCCTTTGTTTGAAAACAATGAAAAAAGAGAAATACATTACTGGTAATAAATCTAAACTTTACAGTTTCTTAATACTATACTGAAAAAAATTACATACACAATATTAAATCAATGTCTCTCTGTTTAATAGTACAATTCATAATCAGGGACATTATGCATACCATAGGCATGTAAATTCTTCTGTTCATTGCAAGTTATACAATTTTACTACCCACATGTAGTTGGTTTCTGAGCTTTCTCTTGCCACAAAAAAATGTGTTATGCATACCGTCCATATCAATTGGTTTAGAACTCTGTTTGCCATCCAAGTCACTCTATAAAACTTCAGGGTTACAGTTTTGAGGGGGGAAAAAAATCCCCTCCGTGTGAACTGTATAGACTGCCAGGATTTTAGAAAACTTTATTACAGAATCTTACCTTTCTCTGTTCTTATACTGATGTAAGCATTGCTGTATTATTCCTCAAACTGACTGCAAATTGTAAGGATTTAGAATTGTTGTATTATTGTTGACTAAGCAGTCTCGGTATTGTAATAGGAAAATCCAAAGTATTGCTTTATTATGTTTTATATTTAAATAAACAAATTGAAAAGAAGTTTTTTACATCTCTTCTAGGCATTCAAGAGTCTTAGCTATGAAATAATCTCACCAATAACTTACTGCCTGGGATTACTATAATATTAATTCAGGTTCTGTGCAGTCCTCTGGGAAAACCATTGCGTCAAACACTTGGGCAGGAAATTACTGTATATTTCTGGGGTGTTCTGAACACTATGTACAGAATACCACAGATGGCCATATTGCACGGAAACATTTAAAGCAGAACTGAAGTATATATTGTTTTAATGCAAAAAATTCTGAAATGGCAAGTAAAAAATTAGGAATACATTTATGCATACTTGCTAATCTATATTATCCCTATGCCTTCTTCCTCAGGTGTTTTTTTGTTTTAGCCAGTGGCATGCAATATCTGCTGTGACAATTAGGCATCACCCTCCTTGTATCTGACTGCTATTTATGGTGTGCTGTGACCAATTTTGAGTCGTGTCTGCTATTGCAAGTTTTTTGGCCGCAGCTACTGCCACACTTTTAATAGAATCACGCGAAGCAGCATAAACCTTGCGGTCAATGTCCTTCTATGGCCTCTGGTGCTTACACAACCTTTGTAATTGCGGTCGCTGGGATTGTACATAGTCCTTGCCCTGACCAGCCGTATTAATTCTTCCACATAAAGCATGGTGTGGTCTGCTCGCTTTATGCAGCCTGGCTGGAGTAGATGTTGCTAGGAGACCAGATCTTTTGTACAAAAACACCCTAAAATGCATGTACCTGCATTTTTCATGGTCTCCAATTGAAGTCTATTGGGCCAAAAACACGCTCTCTAGCAACAAGAGAAACAACTGTGTAGCTTTACCAAGCTACACAGCAGCACAATGTATAGATGTGAATAGGCCCAATGGAAAATAAAAGGATGTGACAGATCACACAGGTGTTAACAGGAACTTAAGGGGTAGTAAGCTAATATCTGAGGGAAGTGATGTTATCATTCCCTCACAGGAAATTCTGGAATTTAATTGATTGCCAGGAACAAGTAATAGAGTGGTTCTATCCCTAAAATCTTCCCTTCTGCTCTTTTATGTCAGTGGAGGAACATAATGGTATACTATAGCTGGCCATACACGGTTATACTTTTTTCCTTCAACCCACAGACTGAATGAAAAAAAACACAACAGATTCCTCTATCAACACTTACAAGTTGTCTTCAGAATACACAAACAGAGCCAGCAGCTCATCAGTTGCTGACTTTGTTCAATCATTGTTTGACCGGCTCCATCAATCAGCTTATGCCAGCCGAAAAGGTGCTGACAGCAGCACCCACTGTGCGGATTTCAGCCTGCTCCTGAAGAACCCGGAAAAATTCACATAATATATGGCCAGCTTAAGAGGGAGGTGTTGGGTGGGCTATTCAGCCAGCAGAGCTGAAACCAAGAAGTTATATCCCAAGACCTCCATTTTAACTCCAAATAATCTAGGACAGTGGTTCTCAACTCGTGGGTCGCGACCCAAAAGTGGGTCGCGACACCTTCTGCAACCTTCTGGAAAAGCCACAAGACACAGTTCTGCATGTTCATACAATTGTGCCTTTTTCATTTGCAATTTCAAAGTGTTTGCACTAAAAAAAAAAATGTTTTTCCTGCCTAAAATGTTTGGCAGTTTTGGAAATTCATTTGCAATAGAAGTTGTTTTTGGTAATATCAAATTAGTTTGTGTTGCAATTATATATGTTTTAGGAAAAGTGCATTTTTCTTTAAAGGAAACCTGGCAGGACAGAAATACAGGAAATGTCAATTTCTGAGAGGCAGGCTTCAGGCTCTCATTCGAGATTCACTACTTATTGAATCACTCACCTGATAAGCAGCTAGTGAAATGCCAGGACACTCAATAGAAAACTGTTTGCTCCAGGCTTGTGACTCAACAGTGAAGAATTGCTAAAGACAACAACCCCAGTGCTTCAACTTTTAAAACCAAGTAAGCACCCATATTTCAATATTAACAGATACTTTTTAACTACCTTACGTCCATGGCCGTTTGTGAACGGCCAGATGGACGTCTGCTCAGAGCGGGAGGGCGTCTTAAGACGTCCTGCCCCTCACAAGTGGTTAAGCTACTGCTCAGTACCAGATTACGGAACATGGTCTTACTGCTGCTTAAGACATTTACAAAGCGCAGCAAGTGGTGCGCCAAAAAAATGAAAAAATGGGAAGAGAGCCCGATTAAGTGACCAGTCAAAGTCATGTGATCAGTGTTCTCTCTGCAAGGTAAAATAAACCATACACC